TTTGGTTAGGTATTGTCCCTCTCCTTCTGACACTGTCATTATTATGTATTTCAGCACCTCTTTGTAAATCCTGAGTCAAATATACATTGGTTTTTGTTTTCCAAAGGTTTCTTACATTAACATATTAATGGTGTAGCAGCATTCTTCATTTTTGAAATACAGAATTTCTAATTTTGATTGGGAAAGCAGGAATGTTTCTATTATATTAAGATACCTGATTTGGATTATCTGAGTAGCTCTTTTTGGTGTTTTTCTTTCGTCATTGATTACTTATGGAATTCAAACAGAATCTGCCAATCACATCCATCAAGCTGGTCTTGAATAGCCATGAAACACTGAAAATTTACTGATTGAGTGGATATCCATAAAACTGAAATGCAGAGACACCGTGTGCTCTTTGGTTGTTCTTTTATCCCTTTATTTTATCCCTTTATCCATGCTTCATGCTGCTGACATTTACAGATGGCTTCACACATTTCTCTTGTTTTCTCTTATAAATAAAAAAACAGAGATGCTCTGATTTGGAGCCTGTGCCATGTGCTTCTTATACCTGAAATTATTGTAAACTATTCAGAGCCATTRCTGTCATTTATTGAATGTATAGAATGGTACTCTGGAATTGGTGCATATGTAAAAAAAAACAAAAAAAAAAACCTTTTTTTTCTCTTGGTGCAGGTGGAAGAGGGCTGGTGGGAAGGAATACTTAATGGAAAAACTGGAATGTTCCCTTCCAACTTCATAAAGGAACTGTCTGATTGTGATGAGGTTGGAATAGCACAGGAAGAGCAAATAAAGTCAAGTAAGGCAAAAATTACTATTGTTGTTCTGTTTGTCTGTGTCTTTATGGTGGATAGGATGGACAGCACATTCTTATCTCTTGCTTGGAAGTGCTTTTGAATGCCATGATTTTAATTGAATGCCATGTTCTTAATTGAATGCCATGTTCTTAATTGAATGCCATGTTCTTAATTGATGCTGAAAAGGGTCAGATGAAGATGATTTGATGAGTTGCAACATTGTCAGCACTCTCTGAGCTTCAACAGACCAAGAGAGAAGGCAATGATCATTATTGCATTTGTATTTCCAAATTAATTACAAGGGATTTTTTGTCTTTAGGCGTGCAAAGTAACCAARCATCTGCAAAGTTTATTTAAAGTGGAGGGATGAAAGTGCCGTGCTTTCTGTGGATTTAAGGATTTCTAATTCTTGCTGTGGGACATGGGGCACTTTTTCCCTCCAGGTGCTGAGCATTCTCTGTCACCTCCGACCCCCAAAGGGAAAAATCCACAACTGGACATGGACTTTGTTCTCTCATTGACAGGGGGCCAGTCCTGYTGCAGGTGAAAAGCATGGTTGGTAATTAAATTTGCAATAGTTTAAACATGGTATGGGTTTATTTATAACTTCCTATTTTTATAATTTCCCTTGGAGAATAACCTGAACCATAACTGTGCTGTCATATGAAATGGAAAGTTGTTGCTCTTCATGATKTTGTGTTCTTCAAGCAGATACTGTTTTTTGTTTTCTAATTCAGTGATCAAATCTGAATCTTKAGAGAAAAGAAAGAAGTCGATTGTGTTTGCATTTTTCAGGCTAATTCCACAATCCTTGCCAAGGTTTTCCTGTTTTTAACAGTGCAGRTGTTCATTGCTGTGTAGTGTTCTGAGATCTCTGAACGTGCAGAAGTCAAAAGATTACCAAGATCTGTCAAGATCTGATTTCAGCTAAAATTTAGCAGTGCCTTTCTATCTGACTCTGTCACTAAGAGGTAGAAAATTATAATACTTTCTKCTTTTTCCTTATTTTTCCACTTAAGGCAAATTTGTCATTCTTGTTCCATACCACAGAAATAAAATCCTGAAAATTTTAAAGAACCCTAATTTTTAAAAAAATTTAAAAAAAAAAAAAAAATTAAAAAAACCCTAATTTTTGCAATGATGAAAATCTGTATTTTTTGTGATGCAGTACCTTTTCATGTGTGAATGGGTGCTGGTGACCCAGTGTCATATCTATCTTTAGAGCTGCTAAAGATAGTTACATGTAATATTCCAAATATTTTTAACTTCAAAATTTTAATGTGATAGGGAGGGGAAWAGGRCCTTAAGTGAAGGTGCACATTTCAYTGAGATTGCAAACTGCTTTCTATAACCTGTAAATGCTATCATGAATTATATTCATGATAAACACAGTGAACCTTGGTGTAATTAATTGTGTAGAGATAATTTCAGCTCTGGAGTCTGTAGTGTTTGGTACTAAATAAATGAAAAAGGTAGGTGATGCTGTTTGGGATGGAATACTCCATTTTTTTTTCTGTATGAATGAATGAATATTCCTTCCCCGGGTATTTTGGTAATATTATTTTATCAGAAGCTTCCTAAAAATGGCTTCTAACAAAAACACACAATAGAGTGTGCAAAAGCAGCCACAAAGCATCAGCTCTTGATGCCCATTTTGGCACATGCTTTGTTTAATTTGGGTTTTTGTGCTGGTTCTGAGTGGCAGAACCCAAACCTGTCACACTTGTATGTAGAATTTAGCATTAATACAAAGATTGGTTTTGTCCCTTTAAAGAAATGGAAGGTAACTGTAATTGGGAGATGGGTTTTCTTCTTTCTTGTGTTTAATTTAATTCTTTGGAGGTGCTTTGTGGCTGTCTGTGTGTTATTAGGAGCCATTAGGWACAATAAAAAACAGAGGAACACTGAACCTCCAGAGAGAGAGAGACAGTGATTCAAGGAATGTTGAAATTGTTACAGGGATTTTAATGCTTTTTTACTTTTTTCTTCAAGCAAAACAATCAATTTAAGATATGCATTCCTTTTGGAGAATTATGGGGCATATGTATCAATTCAGTTTTTTATGTATATGATTTTTGTTATTGATATAGTTATTGCTCTCTAATATGTGCTGCTTCATCAGTCTCTATTCATGCATTTGAAAATCTCCACAATGAGATTGCAAAAATTTCAACAAGTTGATACAACTGACTRGGAATGATAATCTCATTCCATGTTTAATCTAAAAACATAGTCAAATAAAAAAAAGAACAAGTCAGCCCTGGAAGATTTGGGCAGTAAATGCTCAAGGTAACATCTCATGTGTATTCATGCTCCTTCCTCCATGGATGACAAGATGTGACAGCACCTTAAATCTTTTTGTTTCTCTGCAAACTTTGAATACMTCTGTATCACAGGACTTTGCAAGGTGGAAACCTTGAATACAAATTGTAGATGATGAATTTGTGAGTGTGAGGGGTTGTACCACCCAAGGYTCTGGACAGCATTGAGATTTGGGGTTTATCTGCAATCTTCAGCAGCAGCCTTGAATTCTTCAGCCCCACTTGTAAAATGGAATGGATAAAGTAAAATTTGACAGATTTACTGTGAGACCTGGGAAAATAGCATGGGATATGTGGAGCAGGCTGATGAGTATTTTGAAGTTAGGAATTAAATTTAATGCCTTTGTTAAATTTAGTTAAAWTTGATTTTTAAATCACATTTTGCTTACCATCTATAAAGAGCATTTTGAAGGGCAAATGTAATTTTGTTGAACTCAAAGTGAAAGAAATACAGAAGAGAAAAATTACATAACTTGGGTTTTTAGGAATAAAGTTAATAAAAAAAAATATTTCTCTGCCCTTCTATTACAATCTACACCAGCCCCAGTGTGGAGAAAGTCGTTGTCTGATTTTATTGGTTTTGTTGTGTCCRTGTAAATTTTATGGCAGATCAGAGTAAATGAAGAAAAATTACCGTGGTTTCTTTTCATGCTCTGCCATGGTCTAATCTCAGAAGTTTGTTCAGAACAAAAATTTCCTTTTTTTGAAAATGCCTGGGGCTGGTTTTGGAAGTGCCAAGTACTTGTAAATCCTGACAGTGGGATTTAGGAAAGGCTCTTTATTTAYTAGGAAAGGGTTGGGACCTCCCCTCTGATGGGGAGTGCTCAGCAGACTGGAAAAAAAGATTGTTTCAAGATCAAAATATTTCAGGGGTTGTTAGTTGGATTTTAAAGTATTTGTCCCAGCTGTAAGGTGTCTGCCAAATTTCAAAGGCAGAAATKATCAGGTACTCTTAGAGTAAACAGCAGTTCCTTGTTCTTTAAAGCATCTCTTAAATAAAAATATTGCTTTTCTCTGGCCAGCTGTTACAGCATTATCATTTTATTACCATATTAGATACGTGGATTATAAGATTATTTTCTATATTTCTCAGAGATACAGTAATCATTTTAAGACTCTTTTCAATACCACTTCTGTTGAGAAGCAAAAAGTTTCCATGTAATCAAAAAAATTCCATTGGAAATAATCCCAATTGAACATTGAGGAGGTTATTTCAGAAAGCATTTAGTGAGTTTGACAGCATTGAAATGTGGCCTTTTTTTCATTTTGCTGTCTGTGGTGTGTTTTCTCAAGGTTCAGCTGTTTTGACTGTTTTTAGACCCTGTTAGTGATGGCTCTGAAAGGTCCTGGYTGCTGCAATTAAAACTGATGACAGAATCATCATCCAGGCAGAAAACCTTCTCTATTTTCAGTTCTTAAAACTTTGGGGTTCTATTGCTGTCTCTCTTCCTCTCCACAGTGTCATGAATCTTAGCTTGCCTTTCTTTGTTTGATGTTTAATAGCAGTCTTTTCATGGTATTATGTAAAACCTAAGTTTACAGATGTGGCTTTAGTTCCTCATTACATAAAAATAAGGCAATGAAAAGCTTTTGTTATTAAATAAATTGCAAAAACAAAGAATCTGCTTTGTATAATATATAAGTATAGTTTCCTATTGTCTGGAAGTCCAACAGAATGATATACAAAAGAAAATAACCTCATATATTTTTGATATCAAAATGGATGTGATTCTGTKTTGGGACAATTCACATATCCTGTCTATAAATTTTTTTATTTTTTGCTATAAAATTTTACCAAAGACATCAATTTTTGTGATGGTACACCTAGGGATGATTGGGAACAAGCTGGCATTAGTTTATTCTTGAGTTTGTCTGGGTTTTTAAACCTGACACACAAAACACCTCATCTGCCCATGCCTTTCCCTTCACTTGAATTTCATATCCTAAATACCAGAGCATGTGCTGTCTTACTAGCAATGAAAAAAATAAAGGGTTTTGTCATTAAAAAAAATTTATTTTAAATATCTGAGATGGGAGTTGGGATTTGGTTTTATTTGTTTTGCTGTATTCTGTTTTAATTTTAGAATTTTCCTTTTGTWAATGTCCATACCAAATCACACCTGATTAAGCTTTTCACCGTAAAAACCAAGTTATTCAGGTTTTTAGTATTCTATCCTTTCCACTAAGCACTATTTAAGACAAGTTCCCATGTCCAAAATAAATCTAAATCATCTTGGAAAGATGCAATATCCTGGTACATTAAAGAGATGTGGATATTTCAGTTTGGATGTTCAGCTGTGCTTGTTCAAGTGCAGTGCATCAGGAATGTTGAGCCACTGTCAGTACATCAYTGAAATAATAATATTTTTTCAGGATTTCCCTGTGCAAGGTTGCATAAAACACAAATAATTTTATTTGCAARTGTCACAACTTGATGGACAACAGACCAAACCTAGGAAAAATGCATTCTGTTGGACATTGTAAATAACAGCTTTAGCAAAATCATGAGATTCTATTATCTGACATTCATGCAGTAAGAATATTTTAACTTCATGTACAATTTGYTAATATTCTCATCATTTTGCTAATGAGGCTTTGAAATGTCAGTGCCTGAAAATACAGATTAAAACCTCTTCCTTTCCCTTCTTTTTACCATCATTCGATCTCTTTATCCCCACCCT